TCCTCTATTTCCTCCTCCTCTACCTCTTCTTTGTAAGTTATATCGTGTTGTTTTTCTTCCTTCTCTTGTTACATAGTCTATCTTTGGAGGCATTCTTTTTCTAATTTCTAGGATTTTTACTTAATATTTTTCAAAATTTGATATATATCTTTCAAAATTTCTTTTTCTTCTTTTTCAGAATTCTTGAGGTTTTTGGTGGACAACAAGTCCTTTTATAATTTTCAATTTTTTATTTATTTTCTTTACTATAATCCTTTATTAAATACATTAAATGATTATTTATACTATGTTATATAAAACTATGGTGTTATATATTTCTTATTATTCTTTCAAATTATTTATCTAGTATATTGTAAAATAATATCAGGGTCTGTTTCAGATTCACACCAATAATCTTCACTTTTCTTTTTCATTTCTTCAAGTATTTCTTGTTTCCAGATCTCATATAGCTCATTTTCCACAGCATTATTGTATCTTACTATTTCTCCTTCTATTCCTTTTATTTTTAACTCTATCCTATTATAATTCTTATTTTCAAAATTATCATTTTTCCAATTTTTGATGTCATTCCATTTCTGATTCCATTCTTTTGCATTTGAGAATTTACTTAAGATATGTTTGAAATACATTTCCCTTTTCTTTATTTCTTCAATTTCTTGATGAATTTCTTCTACTTTTTGTTTTATTATCCTCTTTTCATCCTCCAAGGTTGATATCTTCCAGATCAATGTATCTATTAGTTCATTGGGTGTTATCATTCCTATTGCACATTTCACAAATGCTAATTTATATGCATCTCCAAAATTATGTGTATACTTCCTTTCCATTTTTTGTTGGATTTCTTCCATTACTTCTTTATAGTTTTCTTGTAATGTTTCTTCCCTGATATATTGGAGTGTTTTATCCAATGGGAATATCTCTTCAAAGAATTTAACTCCTTGGGGTATCTTAGCATTATCGTTGGTTTTATTCATTTCTTTCTCTGCATCAAAACTATCTTGTCTCAGGATTTCAATTTGTTCCATTTCTTGTTGTACTGTCCTATCTACAAATTCTTTATTCTTCTTATAAAATCTCATCAATGTCTCAGCTACCTTCCTTTCCATTTCTTTATCATATCCAAAATTTCTCATTTCTTCCTGTTGTATTAGTTCATCTGTGAGTTTCTCGGATTTTTCATTATTAGTTTCTGCTTCTTTCAAAATTTCTTGTTCAAGGGTTTCAATATATTCCAGTTCTTCATCTGTTGGCTTTCTTTTGATTGGATTGAATTCATCCATCCTTTTGAATCTTGCAACCATTTCTTCTCTTTCTTTTTTAATTCTTTCCTCCTGTTGTTCTAGTAATTCATCAATATCATCCTCAGATTCTAAGTTCATTTCAAGATCCTTGTATGTTTCATATGTGATTTTACTCATTTCTCTTTCCTGTTCCTGCATTTTATCAATTTCTTCTTGTGTGAAATGTTCACTATCTTTGGACTTATAATCTGTCCAATATTTAAGTTTTTCTGAAGAAATACTTATTTCATCTTCTGATTTTGATTCATAATCTGATTCATCTAAGGAGTCTAATCCATTGTCATATTCTTCTAAATCTTTCATTTCTTGACTGGTAATTTTTCCTTGTAATTCAATTATATCTTGGGGTTCTTGCTCCTTTTTCTGTAAATTCTTTGGGTTTATATTATCAATAAATCCCATTGTATCATCCATTAGTCCCCACTTATCATTTTTCATCCATTCCCTAAATATTCTTGTTTTCCAATAGGGGTTTTTTTATCTACATCAATTTCTTTTTTCTTATTACAGTAATCCTCAAATGAATTTTCACTATCTGATTGGTTGTTTTCTTCAGTTTCTGAATATTGATCTTCCGATTCTTCTGGTGATAAATATAATTTTTCTTTATACATAGAAGAATTCTCCTGAGTGATTTCTTGTAATTCAACTGTATCTTCATTTTGTGAGGTGATCCATCCTAAGCTATTTGTTTTCCACAAGTTTATCTTTCTTTTTTGTGATTCAATCATCCTTTCATCAAATGTTACTGCTTTTAATAATTTTGGTCTTTGAATATTTATTGCATCACTCGTTATATAATATTGGTTCACTGAATTTTCTTCATCACTTTCATTTCTAATCTCTTGGAGTTCATTGGCTTCCATTTTTGTCACCTGGTTTCCCATTTAATAAACTAAATATTGATATTATTCCAAAAGGTTGTGACTCCTTCTTTTCAGGTTCTTCAGTTACCTTGGTTTCTTCTTGTGTTGTCTCTAGTATCTCAACAATTTCAGTTGTTTCTTCAATTGTTTCAAGTCTTGTATATTCAGGAAATGAATCAAGTGTTACAGATTGATATTCTGGTGTTGTATATATTTCTCCTGATTCTTCTTGCTCTTTAGTTTCCTCAGGGAACTGATAGTTCTCTTTTTCCTCTAAAAAGTATTCACTATCCAAATCTTCAATAAATCTGATCTTGGGTTTTTCTTGAGCAAGGTTCTCTTCAGGCTGTTCTGGGATTCCCAGTGTTACCTTTATTCCAAATGTAAGAGTCTCCAAATGATTTTCTTCTTGGTCAGTTTGATTATTTAGTTGAGTTGATTCAGTTTGTTGGTTTTCTGTTTTTTGAATCTCCAAAGGTTCTGTTGAAGGGTTTATATAATTTTTCAGAATTTTATCTCCTACTATTTTTATTTCAACAGTGAGTCCTAATTTTTGGATTTCATTCATTGTGATTTGTAGAATTATAAATCTTTTTGATTCCTTCTTTTCAGTAGATGGTTCTAGGTCTTTTAATGGGGTAGGTTCATTCCATCCTCCTAAGAATTCTGATTCATTTGTTCTATCTTTTTCTTTTTTATTCTTTCCTTTATAAGATTTTGTACATATGCAGTAATCATATAATAATTCAGAAAGTCTTTCACATATATTGCAGTATCTATGTGCATGGTGGTCTTCTGATCTCATGTTGCAACTTTTACAATAATTTCCAGCATTTTCCGATACTTCATATGTTCTTTCTTTTCTTTGTTCATCTGTTTCTTGTCATCTTGATTTTTTCAATTTCTCATTTAAATCATAATGTTGTTTGCACATGTACTCTGTTCCCGTCTGGTAATCTTCAGTTGTTCTTTTACTGCATTCATAACAGTATCTTGTTATTTTTCCTTTGAATCTTTTATACTGTCTCGGCTTTTCCCTATTTATTATTGCTTGGTTTTCTTTAATCTGTCTTCTGATTTCCTTATGACTTTTTTCTTTTCTTTCATCATCTTCCTTCCTTTTACATTCTCTGATAGGATGTCCTTTTTTCATGCAATAATAACATTCTTTAAAGTATTTATCCATAGTATAGTCTTTCACTGTATAGCGATTCAACATCTTGGATTTCTTTAAGCCGTTGTATGAATCTGTCATATTCTTGCTATACTCTCGAGGGTAATTCCTGTTTTTCTTGGTATAATATATTGATAAGTCTTGTTGTTGATCCCATGATATTGTATGTTCCTTGATCTTGTCTTCTTCCATACTCATATCCATATCCCATGTGATTACTCCTTCCATTTCTTGGTTGTCTTGAGTAATCCACTCATTGCTCTCCACCATTTCTTTCTCTTCTAGGGTTGCTGCCAGACCTGCTTCCATTTCTCTTCTTTTTTTTTTCTTGCTTTTTATCCTCCTTCTTTTCCTCAGCTGGTCGTTTAAGGATTTCCTTTTCTTTAATGTTAGGAAGTTCTTCTGTTGAGACTTTTTCAAATTCTTGGATAAATTCTTGTTCGATTTGTTCCTCTACTTTTTTTTCAGAGTCTTTTCTTCTAATAATTTCAAAATCTTTGTTTGTTTCTTCTTCCTGTTTCTTTCCTTTTAAGTCTTCTCTTGTTACAACCATTTTTCTTCTAAGAGAAGTGTCTTGTTCATTCTTTTAGGTTTTTGTCTTGGATTTTGATTTCAATTTTGTTGGGTTAGCATAGCATAGCTGCTTCTTTTATAACCGATTTTTGTTCCAGCATATTTCTTCCTCTATTTTTCTAAAAGTTTCTTTTTCTTTCTTTTTGTGTTTTATTCTATGACATTCTTTTTACTGTTTTGTAAATATTTGTTTTGAATTGTTCTATTTTATTCTACTAATATTATTTTATTATTTAGCTATTTGCTATATCCATCCTTGTCTTTACTTTTTACCATGCCCAGAGTTTGTCTTTTTAGTCGCTTAGACCATTCTTCTTTTGCTATTGGCAATTATTATCCTTCGTTTAGTGGGCATTTCTCAGGTCGTCAATCTGAGTTTAAAAATGAAAAATCATTTCTTCGTGCACATATTAAGTTTCTTGAGTCTGAAAGGAACTTTTATCATTCTGAATTCAAGTGTCTCAATAATCTTAATCATAAAAATAGAAAGTCTACATTGATAGATGAATTTCTTTATTACCATTGTAGAAACAATATCAAAATTTGCCCTCGTGCTCGTCTCTGCACCAGAGGCACTCATCATTACAGTTCTAAAGATATTACAACCATTCGTTCTAAAGAATTGTTTTATGACCCTTTTGTGGATTGTGATCCTATTGTTTACATTACTTCTTTAGAGTCTATTCATTCAAATCCTTCGATTGTTTATACAGCTCCTTTAGAACCTTCCATCTATGGTTCTTCGAATCATTTAATTAATAATTATCATCAAGAGATTATTGATCTCACAAACGAATGATTTATTTGTTTACTTTTTCCATTTTATTCTTTTTCTTTCCTTTGTATTTTAATTGGTTCCTTTCTATTATCTTCTTATAATCTTAATATTAAAATTATTTTCTTGCTTATCGACAAGTTTTGATTTTCGTATTATTTGTTTATTGTTTATAATCCACATGTATCATTTTTGGTAATATTAGATAATTCACGGGTATCACAGTTCTTCTATGTCATTTTGTTTTACATTAATTTTATTGGTCCTTATCATTTATAAATTCACTAAGTTTTCTTTCTCTTCGTCAAAAAATGCCTAAGGATAAATCTTCCTTTAAATCTTCCAATAAATCTATCAATCCTTATACTGTTAATAAGATTCTTATTCAAGAGGTTAAAACTCTTCAAGGCCAGAATAAAAATCTTTTTGATACAATAAATTCACTTAGTAATACTCTCACTCAGCTTTCAAATCTTGTTTCTAAAGTTATTATTCCTGCAGTTGCTTCTTATACTGCTGTTCTTCAGTATCATAGGTTCTATGATAAAGATTACTGTTATATCCCCTAAAAGATACTTCACATTCTCAAGATTTTTTTCTTGTTCCTGAAAATTTTCTAGAATTATTTAAAGATATCATTACTGAATTTAAAAGTTCTTTGGGTCCTGAAGTTTCAGAGCTTCCTAGTTTCTTTGATGAATTTGATCAAGATATCCTTGCCATTGCCAATGAGATTTCGATACAATAATTCTTCATCTTTACAAGGTTCTTTTCTGGACCATCCATCTAAATTCCTGAATATTCTTAAAGTTAAAGATTTTCATAAACAATACTCCTTTTCTTATATTCCTTCTTCAAGGATTGTTTCTATTACCAACATTAATACTGGTAATACTTTTGCTTGTTTTGATTACGATACTCTTAATTCTTTTCTTAATGTTAATCTTCGTTCTTAGCATATTACTTCTTTCTATATATATTTTATTATTTACTTTTCTACTACTTCATTTCTTTATTATTATCATTTTATTATAATGTTAGCTATGGGCAATTCAATGTTTTTTTCATATTCCTCTTCTTTTTCTTGCAATCATTCTAAGCAATTTTTGTATTTTCTTGATCATTCTAAATATCACTATTATTGTTTTAATGGCTACTTTTTTATTTATGATAAGTCAAGGGATCTCATGAAAGTAAGAAAGATTGATTACTATCTTCTTAGACTTTTCTTATTGGATCACTTTTCATGATTATTTTTTCATCTTAATGAATATATTATTGATCTTTAATAAAATTTATTATTGAAAGATATAAAGTATAAAATTATTTCAAAAATTATACATATTGCTACAAATACATATTCATCAAAGAATACACTTGTTTGTTTTTTCATTCTGTATTTTTCAAGGTTTTTACACAAATTATTCCTATCCATCAGAATTATATTATGCTTTGAATCTCGGGCTTCTTGTATTGCCTTCCTTGTAAACTGATCTTGAGTTCTTGTGACAATTATTCCTATTGTTCCTTCTTGTTCTCTGCTTAGGGATCCTTTAAGTTCTCGTATGATTTGTTGCACTATTGTTTGATAGATAGTTAGTTTTATTTCTCACAAAGGTTCCTTAAGAACATTCATGATAGGTCATCCTTTTTATATCAAGTCTTTACTTGACTAATGACTTTCACAAATCATGGCCCGATGTGCTTTCATTAATTCTCCTTATAATTGCCTCACCCTTACTTGCCCACACATAATAAATAATATTTTTTATTATATGGCAGCGAAGTCAATTATAGTGATTCATAAATCTAGTAAGTATACACTTACCAATTTTTATATTCTTCCAGTTTCTCACATATATTATAAATGGTATTCCTTGTATCTCTCCTCGTATATCAATTTCATCATCGTCCTCATATCTTCTTATTTTTCTTGCCTTTATATTGGCCTGTTGGAGTATATTTAGGATTTCTCTGGTTGCCCGGAGATTAAACATTTTTCCATCGTCAAGGATCCTATTCTTTCTTTTTATAAGATTATTATATAGTACATTCCTCATGTTATTATTACCTTTTTTAGGTGGCCATTTTTGAAATAATTTTTATTAGTATGTACAAATATGTTTCAAAGATTAGAGATACTACAATTGTTACATATGGTAGGTTAAATTTTTCTTGTTCTATAAATTTTATAAGTTCTCTTTGCAAATTATTTTCTCCTACCAATATTATATTATATTCTGATTCTTGAACATATCTTCTCGCTCCTTTCGTGAATTGATTTTCTAATAGTCCTACAAGTATTCCGATAGTTCTTCTTGGTTGTCTTTCCATAGTTGCTTCAAAGTTTCGGGCTTCTTGTTCTCCTATCTTTATGGCTGTCCAATTTTTACATTGTATTATGAAAGGTCTTCTTGTGACTATTCCTTTGATGTCTATTCCCTTGTCTCCTCTTCCTCCTGTTCTTTTTGATTCGATTCATATCTCTTGGAGTTTTCTAAGTACTTTTTGTTCAAGAATATTATCTTTAGCAATGGGTGAAAACATTTTTATTTCTTATAGTTTCAATTATACCTTCCTTTACGTGTTCCTGATGTGTCATTTTTATTTTAATATTAAAGTTTTGTTTCTTTGTCATTGAAAGATTTCTTTTGTTAATCATTAATACTTCTTTTATTATTTTTTAAGGAACTGCATATGTGGCATTGCTTCAATAAGTATCATGTGTTCTTTTAACTTATAAGGCTGCTTATATTGCTTTTCGTGCAGTACAATGATTTTCTTGATTCTTATTGGATACAATGATTCATCCCTGTGTTACTTGTTTTTATCTTTAGTTCTACTAATCATTTCTTCCTGTATTTTTCATCAATTTTCTTTTTACTTTAAGTTGTAGGTTATTTCCTTCATACTATTTTTGTACCCTTTTCTTTGACCCTTGTTATAGAGTTTATAGTCTTAAATTAGAAACTTTTTCCTAAAAGAATAATTCCTTAGACTATAAAATCATTGGTGTTTTCGCTTGTCATCTGTTTCCTTTTTGTTTATACTAATTCTATATTTGGTGATGATTGTTAAATTTTCTCACTTATTTAAATAGAGATGTTGTATATTTATTTATTAATATTCGAAAATGTCTTCTTCTTGCTTTGATTCTATCTGGTAAGCAATATTTCTTGTTTGATTCTTTATCAACGTCCTCATATTTACAATTGTTTTATAGCTCTATCTTAGACTCGCTTAAATCTCTGGAAGAGAATCTTATTCAATCTAATCATCTTCCAGTCAATATTTAAGAATCCATTCTCAATATTTGGACTTATCTCAGATATCTTGAAGTTTCAGATGGTTCTTCTATTGTTACCTTGGTTCAGGAAATCGTCCGGGGTCATTTTCCATCATTCCCTCTGAGTCATCCGCTTTCTTCGATAATTGATTATCTATGTCTTTCTTTTACAAGTTCTTATGATATTATTCATAAAGAACTTATTAAGCTTCAAAATATCATTTCTATTTTTCATTTAGAGAATTCTTCTCTTAAAGAGGAAAATCAATCTCTTTATGATATTATTAGAGATCTTAAATCTCAAAATATTATTCTTTCGTCAGAGAATTCTGCCTTTCGTGAAAAAATAAATCTTTTTGTGATCTTATTGATAGTTATAAAAGTTCTTAAATGTTCTTTTTTCTTCTTGATCAAATCTTTCGATTTTATTCTTTAACCTTCTTTTTGATTTTATTGGTATTTCGATTATTTCCTTTTTTCTTTTGTTATTGTTGTATCCTTCTACAAGTTTCTATAAGTTTGTGTTTCATCAAATATTAATAAAAGATCTTGATATTCTCTGCATTATTCCTTAAAATGTCTCACACTACCATCTCATCTAATTCTCCTACTCTAAGCAATTCTCCTATTCCTGAGGATTCTGTAAATATTCCTTCCAGAATTCTTAGTATGGCTTTGGCCAATCTTTCTCATGTCCAGAATTCTATTCAGTCAATCTCTTATCAAGCATCCTGGAGTGAAACTCGTTATAGCCATCTTGAAAATATTCTAAGTTCTTCTCGTACCATTGTTACCAATAGCTTTCCAGGCAATTCTTTTGTGAAGAATAATTTTTTTTCCGATGTTGTTAAAGGTCTCTGTTATTCCGTCAGTTTTTATTTCACAAAAACTTGTCAGCTTGAAGAGGAAAATGCCCATCTTAAAGAAGAAGTTGCTATTCTCCAGGATATTAAATTTGATCTTGAGAATCTAGTATATGATCTTCATTCCCAATTTCCTGATGATAGTCCATAGCATTTCTTTTTCTTGTCTTTTGTTCAATATATTTTGTTGTTTCTTTCTTGTATTTTCTGATTATTAATATTACTACTTAAATATTTCCTTTAAAGGGTTCAATAAAGTTTTCCATAATATTATTGAGGCTTGATTATTTTCTTGTGTATGTTGTTTATCGCTTTTTGTCTTCCTTCTTTATAAATGATCATAGTTGTTATCTTTCGTATTTAAAGAATGTGATATGTTCGTCATTTTCTTCAAAATATCTTCTTCAAATATCAACAAGTAAGACCTTTATTTAATGCATTTGTTTGTCTTTATTTTCTCTAATTTCTTTTTTTCTTGTAGCATTCTCCAAGATCTTGATACAGCCTTGGTTGCTCTTTGTCATGTTCAGGATTCTCTAAAGGCTTCCTCTGGGGACACTCCTTGTTCTCACTGTGCTGAGCTTGACAATTTTTTTTCTTTCTCGATTTCCAAAGCTCTTTATTCTTCTACTTCAAAATATTTCGTTCCTTCTTCTAAATCTTCCTTTGTTCTTGTCGAAGAGATTTGTAATTTCTTTTGCCTTGCAAATAAGGAAATCACTCATTTTACTAATGCTTTTACTGAAGAGGAAAATGATTCTGTTGAGGAGACTAATGAGCTTCGTGCTGAAATTACTAAACTCCGTCATAGAATTAAAGCTCTTGAAGAAGAAAATAAGTCTTTAAGAAACCTCTAAAGACATATGATCTTCATCACGTTACTTCATAGTGTCATTCTATTTTCTTCAATGTCATCAATAAAGTCTAATATTTGATCATTACATTTATGTTGTGATGTTAATTTATGAGTTTCTCAGATATTAGTTACATCATTATGAAGTGTTACATTTTCATCATCATTTTTGTGTTAAAAATATCTTGTCTTATCATTTCTTGTTTCTGTTGGATTTTATCTCCCATTTCTAATCACGTGAGTGTATCCTAGCATATACATTCAAAATTTTCAAAAAATATTTTCTTTTCTTACAGATTTTCATCATAAATGCTCTTATAGTATGCAAAGATCAGAGTCTAATGTTAGTGATGATGGTACTGATGGCAAAATATTTATGATGGTACACGTGACAATCCTCGTGATGTTTCTCGCAGTTCTCCCATCCGCCAGATTCTCAATTTTCCTCCTGTTCGCTTATCTAATGTTCAAAATGTTGTTCGTCCTCCTATCATTCAGAACTTTCAAGATATTCAGAATCATTCTGCTGCTCAGAATCATGAAAATGATGAGATTTTCTTTTGCTTAACACTTCACCCTGTTGATGAAATGTCCAATACTCAAATAAGAGAAGAACTTATCACTCTTCGCAATGGTGTCCTTCAACTCCGCAAAAGAATTGATTTCCTTACTAAAGAGAAATCAGCTCATCGTTATGAAGAACTTGCTTGCAAACGCTGTTGTCTTCGTGCCTAATTAGAATTATCTGATAAAGGAGATGGTGACATCAAGAGAATGTTGTATGTATTATTGTTTTGTATAGTATTCTTGCTTCATCTCATCTCTTTTGCTGATTTAATTCTTCTTTTTTTAGTAATTTCTGAGTTTTTGTTATCTTTGCATTACATGTTTTATCATTACATGCTTGCATCTTGTGTAATTCAGTTTTGTATTTAATTGCGCAAATAAAATCAACTTCTTACAATTTAATTGCATCTTGAAATCTCAATACAATGAAAAACTATTACACAATTATTATCACAATTATCTTCTTAATAAGTTACTTACTTGGTCTCGTGAAATCAAAATCTAAATTTCCTCATAAATCTTTTTCAAAAGACAAAAATCTATTTCAAAAAGCATCATCTTGTTTAGAAGATATATTAGTTATGAATTGTGAATCAATTCTTGAATTCGGTTGGAAGTTTTCCACAATATCTTCAAACATATGCTCAAAAACTTTGTTTATAACAATGCCTCTATTTATTATAAACGGTTTTATACTTTTTGCTTTATTAGATTTTTACATCTGGTGTTTTATAATATCTACTTATCCTGAAAGATTTATTTATTAGTTATATTGGTATTTCGATTATTTCGATTACAAATTATTATCAGTTCGTTTCAAAATGTTTATACAAAACTATTGTTTCTAGCCAATTTTCTAAATTATATCGGCTGCTTCATTGTCATCTTCAAATTATATATTTCAATAGACTATAACAATAATTTGCTTCTTAAGGTTTTTCTTCGCATTAGTTTATCGTTGTCTTCTTTCTTATCTTGAATCTTTATCTTCATTCTTTTTTTGGCTTTTCTTTTTCACCATATCAGATTTTTCTAATGCAGATATTCTTCTTCTCCTTGAGTTCTCTTAATACTTCAGGTTTTCCAAAATTGGATTTCTTTATCTTTTGTTTTCTTTCAGTTCTCTTTTTCCTTCTTCGTGGTTTTAAATCTTCTTTCACATTTAGAGTCATAACTTCTTTATGATTCATCACTTCGTTCTTCAGTTGGTCTTGTAAAATTCTTGTGTATTTTTTTCTTTTTAGGTTTTCTTTTGTAAAAATGTATACTTTATTCTTTAAATATTGGTTTTTAGATGATATATTATTAATAAAGATTGTTATTTCTGTTATTTTAACTTTGATTTGATAAAATGATATTGTTTAATTTCTTAATGAATTTTCAAGTTTTCTTTGATAATTCTTTCTTGTTTACATTTTGTGTCTTTAACTTGCGTGGATAAAATTTTAAATCTCGTATGACTTCATCATCTTATACTCTTATTTCTATTGGCTATTTATTGCTAATCAAGTGATGTCATCAGTTTGTTTTGATTTTTATTTTATCCAATGAAATTCCAGTGATCATCAAAAGTTCTTTTGCGCTTCTCTAAATTGATTGGCAAAGATTAATTTTTACTTTACTCTCGCTGTGCGATGTTTATTCACAAATCTGTTCCATACAAATCAAAGGTTTCAATATTTTCTACAATCCTGTGGAATCAGATTTTACATTTCCTAGGACTTATTGCTTTAATATCTAATCTAAAGTTTCTTTCGAATCGATTGGTAATTATTCACTTTTTCTTCTGATTCTTCGACAAAGTGTTCATTCCCAATTTCTTTTGATAGAACTCAAAGATCATTAACATCACAAACTTTTTATGGTAAAAGATTTTATATTTCCTACAAACATTATCAATTTTACTTATAACATTTTTACCTTCATGATCTTATCATGATTCTCTTAGCCTGATCTTCCCTAATCCTATAAGAAATCTATGAATCATCATACCAGATACTAATGCTATTATATTCTTCACAAACATTTCTTTATTTCTAGTACAATTTACTTTAATAAATTCCATAAATTTAAAATCTTTTACTTGAGATTTTCAAAATCTTCTTATGGTCCCGTTGATGATCTTTTAATTTTTCCAAAAGAAATTAAGAATTTTTGATCCAATCCTCCCTCTGCTTTTTAATAAAATTTCCAACTGTCAGTTTTTTTCTTTTTTTTATTCTCCAAGGATTTTTTACTGTTCAGATATTACTCCAACATTTTTAGATTTTTCTAATTTTTGTTGCGAGAGTTTTTCTTTGATTTTTGAAATTTCAAAAATTCTACTTAAATATTATATTTTCAAATTTCTTTTCTCCATCCAGAATTATTTCCAAAAAATTATTATTTTAATTTTTCAGAGAAACTTCAAGAGTTTCCTCTAAGATATCATAATAGTTGTTCAGAGAAAATGTAAAAGTCTCTCTTACAATTTCATTATTTTTCTTAAAGATTTCTTTCTATGAAGCCATAGGTACAAGATATCATTAAGATCCTTTGAACCTTTCCTTTGAGATCCTAAGAGGCCCCAGAAGTTGAGATGAAAAGGTTGAAAACTTGACTCAAAAGTTTGTCAATCAGGTTCCATATGAAGGTCTTTTAAGTCTTTTTAAGTCTTGATTTTTTATGTTAACTATTTTTAATTATTTATATTTCTTATTCTAATTCTATTTAACGTTACTGTAATTATTTATATTTTTATTCATCAATTTATTTCAGAACTTTCTTAAAATACTAATTTATATTATTGAATATTTTTCTTCAATTGTTTATAATACCTTTACTTTAATTTCTATTATTTATTATATTTTTATATTATTTTATTTAATAATTTATATTATTTTCTTACTAATTTTCTGATTGGTTCCTATTTGTTTATTGTTTATTTACCTAATTACATCATTTATTTGTTGCATGTAATGTCATTGTTTATCTTTCTCTAAGTCTTTTTCTTCTTGGTGATTCTTTACTTAAGGACTTGTTATTCTTCTAAGATCTTTTTATTTTCTATAAATCTACAAACCTACTTCCATTTTTGGAATTGTTGTTTCAAGGGTTCACCTGTTCTCTCAGAGTTCATTCTGATTGGTTAGAGTCTTTAGTGACTTCTATTGGTTGAAATTTTCAAGTTTTGGATTTTTTCTTGTAAGGTCTTACTACAGAAAAGTTATTTCTTTTATAATTTTTCAGGTTGCACGAGTAACTGCGGAATTTCCTTTTCGGTAGGTTTAACCAGAATCTTCTTTAACATGCCAGGGTCTTCTTGATCCAACTAGTATTTTCCAGTTTCTTGTCTCTTTTTGTTCTTGCGTAACATTACTGTTCTAGAATATCCCAATTCTATTATTACCCTAGTAATTATCATAATAGAGTTTCTTATAATACTTATTATAAGGTGACCCCCTGAGAAGTTGTAAATCTGATTTATATGTAATTTTTTCCATTAATTCTACTATTGAATTATCCCTTTTAGTTATTCCTAGGTTCTTTTTCATATCTTGTTTTCTTACTGCTTGTTCTACTATTTTAAATAAGTGTTTCTCATGAGAAGTTTTACAATTCTCTATTCTTGTCTTTACTCTAACAACCTTACTTCTTATTTTTCTTCATTAATTTTCATTCTTGTAATATTTGTTTTATAATAAATGATTCTTCTTTTAATAAAAGGATTTCTTCTGTTTTCCAACTAAGAATTTTTAATATTAGCTGTTCTGAATTTTCTTTTTCTTTTATTATTATAGATATTTCATCTTCTTTTATTTTTTCATATATTGTTTCTTTTTTAAAGAGTTTTGTTATTTTCTTTATAATATTTTTGTGAATCCCACTTTCTATTGTTAAAGTGACTTCTGTAATATTTTTTCCAGCTTCTCTCTGTCTAAATAATTCTCCTTCTTCTTCTCTTATAATTTCCATGTATTGTTTTCTTGTAATTACTTTGTCAAAGTAGGCAGGGTATTTCTTGATAAAGAAATCTTCCTCCTTGTTATGTTTTCTTTTTGTAATCATTACTTGAATTTTATAGGGTTCATCTAATTCTTTCTCTTCATGCAATGACAATATTAATTCATATGTATTGCTTATTATATTGTGTTTTATTCTTATTCCCACAATTTTCTCTTGTTGTATTCCATAAATCCATTGGATTATCTTTTGTTGTCTTTCATTCTTTAAATTTATAAAAGTTCTATTTACTGTTTCCTTCATAAGACTATTTATTTCTTCTTTAGTTATCAAAATACATCCTTCTTCCATTTCTTGGAGGATTGCCTTTCCTTCATAATATTCACTTATCGGAATCTGTTCTTTGATTTTCTTGTGTTGGTAGTGTTTGATTAGCTCTAAGCAAGCATAATCCCCTCTTTCATCATAAGGGTAGTGTGATTTTCTAAAATGTTCATTTGGTTTCTTCTTGAAAATTATTTCATAATAGTAATGGTTCAATTTCCCAAAATCCTTTAGTGTTTCTTCTTCATATGTTTCTGTTATGTTTGTCGGTTTTTCCTTGCAATTTCCAGGTTTTTTTTTGATCAGTAGTTCATTTTATTGTTCTTTTATAATTTTTCCAAAATTTTTCGCTCCTATCTGTATAATATAATATATATAAAAAATTTAACCTAAAATAAAAAATTTAAGATTTATAATTCTCTAAAATTTTTTGTTGCATTGAAATAAGAATATTCATATAATTATTATCTAAATTTAATTTAAAATCTTGTTCAATAAAATCTAAAAAGTGTATTGATGCATTGAATTGCTATATCAGGTTTTACTTTTTTCTATTGAATTGAATTGATAATATCTTCATTTGTAATATTTAAATTTACAAATGAATCATCAATTTCAATATAATCATTTATATTAATAATATCTTTATAATTATATGGTAATTGATCAATTAATTCCTCTATTTCCTCTAAATTTTACTGTGAAAATGGAATTATTTCTCCAGTAACAGTACTATCAGAAGCAGGAGTTTGAGGATTACCTGTTTGTTAAGAAAATTGTAAGGGTGAAATAATATCAGTTTTTTTTCAACAATTTGAAATAATATTAGAATTAACCTTATTCCAAGCTTCCTCAATCCAATATAATACATGCTTGATATTGATTTCTTCAGGAATTGTTTCAATATTATATGTCAAATTAAACTAATCCACTTTAAATTTTATCAACAATCTTCTATATTAGGCCTATATAAATTAAATTAAATTAATATATTTAAATAATAAAAGAATTAAAATTTAATATTTGCCTTAAATAAATAAATTATTCCTGCATTCATTAGTTGTAAATGAGCTGTTGTATTGGCAGGTAATGGATGCAATATAATATTTGACAAATTCTCTGATTTTAAAGAATCTCACTAACATGAGTAGGTGCTTGATCATAAAGAAGAATAATAAATCTATTTTCTTCTTTTATTTGAGTATTTAATTAAATTAAAAAGTCATTCCAAATCATAGTAGTCATTCAAACAGTTTTATTCCAATACCAATTAACTGGAAGGTCTTCTCTCTTAATTTTGTTTAATACCCAAGGTGATTTATAGTAATGAATTACCAAAGGCTTGATTTTTATGAAACCTAATAAAATATACAAATATAAATAAATAAAATTATTATAAAAAATCAAATTCTTTAATACCTGTAAAATTTAAACAAAAAAGAATTGTCACTCTTTGCTTGTCTTTTTTTTTTTCAATTATTACTTTTTTAGCAAGAGATCTTAAAGATTCCATTTTCCAATAAAGACCTGTTTTATTACAATTAAATATATTTTCTAAAGGCCAATCCTTTAATAATTCTTGTAAAGATTCTTTAAATCTGAAAAGTTCTTCTAATGGAGACTACTTTCTTCTCCATAATATATAAATTGTTTCAAATTTACTCTTTTTTTGAAATTTGTTAACCAGCGATTTAATGCATTAAATTTCAAAATTTTTAGAAGTTTGGCAAATTTCTGGACCTGATATATTAAAATAAATCCTGTAATAATTAAATTTGTTTTTAATACTTTGTCAATCCATAATATTAATACTTCTTCCAATAAATAATATTTAGAACTTCTTTTTTTTTCTTTGAGCTTCAAAACTGTTAAGATTAATTTTAAACCAATAGTTATTATCTTTCAG